GTCTCTCTCACGCTCTCTTCTCCATAATTGCTCTGCTCCTATTTTTTTTTTATAAGCATATGCTCTTATTTTTTATAAGTTAAAAGTATTTTTGTAAAAGTAATAATATTCTTAGATAAATTTTTTTAATACCAAACATGAAAATAAGAGAAAATAAAAGAATTTCTAGAAAAGTTACTTAATAAATAAACATGAGTAACAAGTTATCTAGAGAAAACACATTTTCAAAAATCTCATTTAAAAAAATTTAATATGCCAAACACTCCCTAAAAATTTTGCCACAAAGAAGATTATATATAATTTTGGAGTATATGGCTTAAATCATGCTAAGTGTAATCTTTATATACAAAATATAACTCTTTATAATTTCCTTTATATTGAACATATAGTCTTTTAATTCAATTTTAGTTATGAATTTTAACTAATTTTCTTATAACATTTTAAATTTTAAAAAATTTATCTATAATCTAAGTGTTATTTAATATAATAAAATACCTATTTTTTATAATTAAAATATTTATTAGTTTAAAATTATATATTTTTTTAAAAAAATATAATATATCTATATTATTTTACTTCAAAAAAATATTTTAATTTAACCATACTCATACAATGTATAAAAAAATTACTAATTTAATTAAAATGACATGATTAGCTTCGTTTGAAAAGATCTTTAAGACAAATAAATCATCTTATTTGAATAAGCATAGTTTTAAATAATAATAGTAATAATTATTTTATCTTGTGTAATATTATACAGAAAAAAATTATTATATAATTTTTTATAAAAAATATAGTATTTAATATTATTAATGTATTAAATTAAATTAAATTTTATAATTTTTAATAAAAATTTATCATATATAACTTATTATTATGTATAATATTGTACATTTAAATTTTTTTTTAATAATATTGATTTGAGATTATATATTAATTTTAAATTTAAAGCTTAAGGTTGTCAATTTACCTATAAATTTAGACCAACTATTATTTTCTTTAGAGGTAAGTTTTTTTCATCTATTTAAAACACCTAATTATTGCAAAATAAATTTTTAAATAAACTTGTAAGTTATATTTAACTTTTTAAAAAAATGTGATCAAACTTTAAATAATAATTTATGTCAAGTAAATAAGTCCAACTCAAATCTTAAATTTAAAAGTTAGATCAAATTCATTTTGTAAAATACTTTATTCCACCCGTTTTTATTAATTTATTGTTAAAAAATAAGACGCTCCAGTGAGTTTGCTATAAAGCTAGCTGGAGGGTTGAGTAAGACACTGCAGTGAGTTTGCTATAAATTTTATTTTAAATAAAATAATCATAATGTTTTTAAAAAAAAAAATACAATTTTTATAATAAAAAAATTTATTTCTAATTTTAAAGTATTCTAAGCTGGATAAATTATGTTTTATAACTATATTACTTTACTTTTAGCATATATTTAATACTACATTAATAAATAAAATTTTATGCAAATTTTTTAAAATAATAAAAATATATATATACAAACTAATAAATCTAACTCATTTTTTATTTTATTTTTAAAGCAAACTTATGTTTAAAATTATACTCATTTAAATAAATAAAGCAATCTTTAACGTTACTTTCTTTTTGTATAAATTAAATTTAAGCTTTAAATACTCACCACCGCTGGTTTATTGCAATTTACGTTACGCATCTCTTCTATGCGTGATTCATGACTACTTTAAAATCAATTAATTCCTCTCTTTAAATTTAATTTAATACATTTTCAGCTTTGTAAATAATCATTTTAACACATTTTCCTTCAGCAACCATTGTTAACTAATTTTTAACAGTGTAAAGTAAAATGAATTATTTTATAATAAAAAAGAATGATGTGGTAATATTTATATTTCATATTAAGAGAAAGTGTATTTAAATCAAATTTTCTATTAAAAATATTATTAATGTGTTTTTCCTATAATTTTTAGCATATTTTTAACGTTATTTTTAGTAAAAAATTATTATTTTTATTTCTTAATGAATGCTCTTAAAGTACTGTTAGTAAGATTTAAATTATAATGATGATTAAAATTATAAATGCATTGGATTATATAATTTTAAATAAAAAATTATTATATATAGTTTTTAGTATATTTTTAAGCACATATTAAAAATAAATATTAATTTTGATTCTTAAATTGAATATAATCAATAAAAAAATTCATTACATAAAAATATAAAATATAATAAATAATATATTTTTATAAAAAATTATTATTTTTAAATACTTAAATCAGCAAAACCAATAAATTTGGTTTATGCACGTCTCTTGTCAAAATGTGAATAGCGCGTTGTAAGCACATCCCTTTCTAGTTTTAAATGAATTATGACTACCTTTACAAATTAATTAATTGTTGTCTTTGAATTTATATCTCATTCAATTTGCAACCTTTCTACACATTTTCCGTGCAAAGTATGGTTTGTAGACTGATTCGAATAACGTGATAAAGGGATTTTTATTATCATTTAATATTAAATAATAAAAAATATAAATATATTTTTGCAAATTCATATAACAAATTTTAAAACTGATTAATTATATTTACTATATTTAAAGTATTTTTTTAATGTTGAGTATTCCATTTATTAAATGTACACTTTTCAAGTTACATGTGAATCATGACAATGATTTATTAGTTTTCTTTGAATGGATCAACAATTCAAAATTCAACACATATATACTGCAAAATAGTTGTTTGAAGAATTTATTTATTTATTTATTTTAAATAAATTTTTTATTTAATTTTTATAGCATTATTTAATAATATCTTGTTACATCGTTTAAATATAGCTAAGCATTACATTGAATAGTAACAATGTAAAATTTTATTATCTAGAGCATGTATTAAAATTGAAATTTTATTATGATGAACGAAATATCTAAAATATTGTATTTAATGACTGTTATTTAGTAGTGATGAAGTATAGTTAACGCCAAACCAACTGAATTTTTCGTGTTTTATGACCCTTACATTTTATTTTCTTTTTCGGAATTTCTTTTGCATTTATTGCAGTTTACTATAATTTTTTTAACACAATTTATTGAAAATGATAATTTCTTTTGTTAATTTTTTTTTATAAATATTTTAAAAATTTATGAAATATTTAATATTTTTTAAAATTTATTTTTAGTTAACATATCAACGTTTAAAGCCTTGTTTGTTTAACATGACATGATAAAAAATATAACATAAATATATAAATTAATGTGATATGATAAGAGATAAATAATATTTTTTTAAAATTTATATATGATGTACATCAATAACTGATAATATGATGTCATTTTTTATTAAAATTTATAAAAATAAAAATAAAATTATATTTAAATAAATAATAAATTTTTATTAAAATTAATTTAATCTTTATAAAAAAAATTTATTAATTTTTTTCACTTTTCAAATAAAAATATACATATATTAAAAATAAAAAATTATGTACATATAATATTAAAATTTGATATTAAATTATTATTATTATTATATTCAATTTTTACAATAAAAAATTATAATTAGAACAAAAAATTAAAAACAATTAAAATTATTTTTTAAAATGATTATTTTGTTAATATGTTTTTGAAAAACATATTTTTCTTAAAAAAATTATAGATTTTTTAAATAATATACTTTTTAAAATAAGATTAAAAACTTTTCATATAAATTTTTAATAAAAATTATATAAAAAAAATCTTTAATGTTGTTATATAAAATAAAGTCTCAATTTTTTTACTTTTAAAAATTTGATTAATACTTTTATACATATTTATGTGATTAACATAAGACTAAAATATAATTAATTGACAATAATATCGATAATGAAATATGATTCAATATTGAAATATTTTATGTCAAATAATTGATATTGCTAATTTTTTGAATTATCATATAAGCAATATGAATAATAAATGAATACAAATTTTATTTTTTTTAAACTGTATAGAGTGATGCTCTTTATATGATATGACAATTATAAAGATAATTTTTAAGAAAAAAATACATTATAATATTTTATTAATGCGACAACGTTTAAGATTTTGATGACACATAAAAAAATTACTCTTATTATAATATTTCAAAGAATAAGAGCATGTTTAATTACTGTTTTGATACTAATTTTTTAAAAAAAAAACAGAAAACTGTAATCAAACATGCTTTTTATTTTTTAGTTTCCAAGCATTCAATGAAGAAGAAAAAATAGTAAAAAATAAAGCAAAGTTAGTAACTCAAGGTGATACTCAATAAAAGTTATAGACTTCACTTAAACATTTTCTTCTATAGCTAGATTAGAAGTTATGTGCAGACTTCTTGCATTTACAGTACAACATCATTTTAAGTTATTTTAAATAGATGGAGTAGTGCATTTTTAAATAATTTTATAAAATAATTTTTTTTGTAAAATAATCACCTAAATTTGAAGACATAACATTTTTAAATCACTTCTTTAAATGGTTTGAAATAAGTCCTAAGAGTTTGCTATGATTCTTATTTCAAAAGTTTTTTTTAAAGAAAGATACAACATTATTAAAGAAAATTTAATCGAAATTTTATTATAATTTAAGTATATATAATGGTATGGTCTACTAAATTTATTTGGAGTAATTGATAAATATTTTCAAAAACTAAATTTGTGGGCATAATTGGATATTTTGTGACTTTTAGTTTCATATGCAATTTGAAATATTTCAAGTATTATTAAAAATTTCGGGGAGGTTATTCTCAATTCTTTTATTTAATTCATTAATGATGGATTTTTAATTTATTTTTAGGTCATAATTACTAAATAAAAAACATTAATCTAAAATAAAAAAAACATTAAAAGGTGGAAAAAGTAGTAAACTGTTAAAATCGATTAATAAAATAACCTACATCTCTAGTGTGATATTAAAAATAAATCAAGTCGTAAGCCATTTTAATAATCAGCTTAAAAAAACTTATTAAAATAAGTTAAAAAGAACTTGTAACCACTTCGAAGGATCCCCTAAAAGTATCATTAAAATTAAAATTATGTGCAAAAAAACAATCTCCTGTGTACATATGTTGTATAGCTTAAGAGTGAACAGTGCTAGAGAGTAAAAAGGGAAGCAACCGGACATTCAAGCTCAGCTGCTCTAGCACATGTACATTTAGATTTATATTACTTCTGAAGTGAAAAAAGACAAGATGAAAATTACAGTGCATCGTATACGAGTAAAAGTTGCTTAATCGATACTTCCAAGTTAAATCCCTAAACCGCAAGATTTAGATGACAATTTGTTACCACTATCACAAAGTAACAAACTACCATATTCAATTCTACTTTTTAGCAGTACTCTATCAATCAACAAGCTCTCAGCTGATGATTGAAAACTATACTCATCTAGGTCACAATAATTTGACCTCATAGTTGATGACTTCAAAACGCTTTTTTCGAACTTTTTTATGTATTGTTGGATGTCTTGTTGAACTGCAGAGGTTTCAGATGGCTTCTGTGCAAGAGAGAAGCAGGGTTTGCAATTAATTTCTGCGCTGCCAGGTATTGAACTGACTCGACCTCGAATAGTTCCCACAGCATCAACGCTGGCATACGGATGTGAAAGGTCATAATGGGTATTCACGGATTGTCCCCGAGTGGCATCGTCCTGAGAAAAAGTTAAAGATTTATTTTTAGAATTCCTCTGAGCGAGTGTAAGACTAAGACAATATATAACAATGTCAATGTCAAGGAATTCAAAAACAAGTTTATATCACCAAGATTTTTTCACCGCTTTCTTTGTCATAAACCTTTTACATTCAATGGAATGGAAAATAAGGAATCAGAACCCATATTAGCACATGATTTCATCATTGAAAATTGACGCATTTAAACTTTCACGATCCCACATATTTAAAGAGTGTGTGTGTTTGTGTAAGGGTACTTGTATAAGAAATTCTTATGATTAGTTTTGAAATCCACGTCGATAAATTGTACTGTTCTCCCCTAATTACAATTGGCATTCCTATCCCCTAATTACAATTGGCATTCCTATCCCCTAATTACAATTGGCATTCCTATTGTTCCAAAAGTTCCACTCACCTCCTTTCAGATTCTGACACGTAGTTGTTATAGGGATAAATGTAAATAAGTGCATTGCCAAAATTCAGTTAGGGAGTTTTTGAAATGCATAAATAGATGTTTCTGTAATTGAAGGCGTAGATGAAAAGTTTTATCTCTACTTTGTCTTGAATCTTTCTCTTCTATCAATTCTTTCTATTCTTCCTCTTAATTTCTCTATTTTAACACTGGTATCTAGAACTTTCAATAGTATAATTGGTTTCAAGGGTGAGAGCGTGGATGTGGGGGTGAAGTGACATGGGGATTGCTTTCTCGTAGAAGCAATAAAACTGCGATTTGGAGTCATTCTTGAAGATCCCATGAAGGAATCGATGCAATTGAAGCAGATAGATGATCTACCTAATTAGCAAGAAGCATTTGACAAATTTGATTTATTAGAACTCAACGACAACAAAAACTTGGTTGCTATCTTGGGGGCCTGAAACCAGAAATTTCAATAAGGGTAAATTGTTGGCGCCCAAATCTTTACTCAAAGCATTTAGATTGGCTAAAAAGAATTTGGAATTACTAAACAAGAGCGAAGAAACATTCACTAGTATTTCCAAAGACAGGGTGGGTGTTACAAGAAAATGGGGTGGAAGTAAAGAAAAAAAGATGAAGGTTGATGATAAGGGTTTGAATTCAACAACAATTAAGAATCAAAAAGGGATCTTGGGTAAGCCCAATTTACGATTTCAATCCAAATTAACTCCACGAGAATTAGATGAACATTGTAGCAAGAGGCTGTTCAGTCATGAGAAATTTTTACATGGCCTCAAAGAAAGAAGATGCAACTATTTGTGATGGAAGTAGTAGAGGAAAGAGAAGATGCTGGATTCAAAGAAGATGAAGGGGTAGTAGAGGTAGAAGAGGAGACAGATCCTGTTGTTTCTTTGAGTGCAATTCAAGGAGAAACAGGAGTATCAGAGAATTATTATACCAGGAGAATAACAGGGTGGATTGGAAAAAAAAATGTGTTTGTACTGGTGGACAGACGAAGTACTCATAATTTCATTGACACCTAATTGGCAAAAGCTGGAGTGGGACAGTTGAGAACAACTAAGCCCCTAAATGTAACCGTCGCTAATGGGGTTAAAATGGAAGATAAAAGTAAGTGAGGACCAGTGTTGTCAAATGGCCGTTATGGCGGCGCCATGGCGGCCGTTACGAGCATGGCGGTAACGGCCGGCCATGGCGGAAATCGTGATAAATGGCGTTTTTTTTTAAAAAAATTGGATTTTCTGCACTTTTGGGCCAGACCCGACCCGACCCAGCTCAGAATCCAACTGCCTAAATCTAGGTTTTTTCTCTCTCTTCTCCTTACGATCTCACTCTCCCTCTCTTTGCAATCGCACTCTCTGCGATCTCACTCTCCACTCTGCTCATCTCTTTGAGCTCCCTCCATCTCTCTCTCTCTCTGCGACCACTTCTCTCTCTCTCTGCGACTGCTTTCTTTGAGATCTCGTTGCTGAGATCTCATTTTCTTGGGCTCTTTGTGTTTTTGTTTGGGTGCATTTCGGTCTGTATCTCCGGCGACTGCACCATCTTCGGTGACTCCAACCTCCATTTCCGGCGACTGCACTTCCATCTCCGGCGACTCCATTTTTCTGGTAGCTATTTTTTTTCATTTTTCCTCTCAGTTTTTTCTTTATTTCCCCCATTTAAATTTTACCCTTTCCATCTTTCAATTTTTACCTCTCCCACATTTCTATTTTTCTCTGTTTTTTCTCTGTTTTTCCTCAAAAAAAAATTCTATTTATTTCAGCTACTCTTAACATGGCTCAACATGAGTCTTCATCAAATTGTTCAAGAACTTCTAATCGTTCTGACCCGGGATGGAAATATGCTCATTCGGTGAAAGATGGAGATACAAACAACATTGTATGTAATTTTTGTGGAAAAGTTATGAGTGCGGGAATCACTAGAGTGAAACAACATTTAATTGGAAAGAAGGGTAACGTGAAAGCTTGTCCCAAGTGTCCGGAAGAAGTTAGAAAAGAGATTGAGACATATCAAAAGGAAAAAAAGAATCAAAATAATTTTGAGATGCCAAATGTGAGAAGCTTTGAAAGTATAAGCTATGATATAAGTGAGGATGAAGAGGATACCCAAACCCGTAGCGTTGCCATTGAAAATCAGAAAGGGCCAATGGACTTGTTTTGTAGAAAGCCTGAAAGTGCAATTGAGAAAAGAAAAAAGGAAAAATTGAGACAAACAAATATAAGAGAACGATGTGACAAAGAAGCCAAGGCAAGGATCCATCAATACATAGCTCGATTTTGGTATCAAGCTGGCCTTTCCTTTAACCTCATTAAAATGAAGAGCTTTCAAGAAATGCTTACAGCTGTTGGTGCTTTCGGTCCAAATTTACCAGCTCCAAGTTATCATGATATTCGAGTTCCACTTCTAAAGAAAGAGCTAGAATATACCGATTCCCTCATGAAAGATCATAAAGAGCAATGGAGCAAACATGGTTGTTCCATAATGTCAGATGCATGGACCGATCGAAAGCAAAGATGCTTGATTAATTTTTTGGTCAACTCTCCTGCTGGTACTATGTTTGTGAGGTCTATTGATGGATCTAATTTTGTGAAGACCGGTGAAAAATTATTTGAGATGCTTGATGCTCTTGTGGAAGAGATTGGAGAAGATAAAGTTGTGCAAGTGATAACGGATAATGGAACCAATTATGTCTTGGCTGGTAAGATGTTAGAAGCGAAAAGACCACATCTTTATTGGACTCCTTGTGCAGCTCATTGCATAGATCTTATGCTTGAAGATATTGGAAAGCTTCCTTTGATAAAGAAGACAATTCAAAGGGGAATATCGGTTGTTGGCTTTATCTACAGTCATTCAAGTACCTTGAGTTTGTTGAGAAATTTTACAAACAAGAGGGAATTGGTAAGACATGCAGTTACTCGATTTGCAACTTCTTTTCTATCATTAGAAAGACTTCACCAAGAAAAAGCAAATCTTAGAAAGATGTTTACTTCTAAGGAATGGTGTAAAAACAAGTTATCAAAGGAAGCTAAAGGGAAGCAAGCAACAAAAATTCTATTAAATCCTGTATTTTGGAATAATGTGGTGTATACTTTGAAAATCATGGCTCCTCTTGTCCGGGTGTTACGTTTGGTTGATGGAGAAAGAAGACCAGCTATGGGGTATATTTATGAAGCAATGGAGAAAAGTAAAGAAGCTATCATGAAGTCATTCAAAAATAATGAAAGTAAATACAAAGATGTGTTTGCAATCATTGATTTTACTATGACAAATGGACTTGTCAGCTTCACCGTCCATTACATGCAGCTGGTCACATTTTAAACCCAGAATTTTACTATGACAACCCTCAAATTGAATTTGATTTGGAAGTTACAAATGGGTTGTATGATTGTATCAAGAGGTTGGTGCCAAGTCGGGATGTGCAACAAAGTATACTACTTGAATTACCAATTTACAAGAGCGGTGGTGGTCTCTTTGGGTCCGACTTTGCAAAATCACAAAGAAAAAGCATTGCTCCCGGTAATTCATCAAATTCTTCAATATTTTAATTTTAAGGTTATACTTCATCTTCAGAGTTATAATTTGTCTTTCATTTTATAGCTCAATGGTGGAGAATGTATGGACATTCAGCTCCACATTTGCAGCAACTAGCTATCAAAATTTTGAGCTTGACATGTAGTGCATCCGGATGTGAACGCAACTGGAGTGTTTTTGAGCAAGTAATTTTTTATCTCTCGAGCCTACTATTTTCTTTTATAAATTAGAGAGAAACTGATTAATATTCTTATAATTAAACTCACGTTGCAGATTCATTCAAAGAAGAGAAATAGGCTTGATCACAAAAAATTACATGACTTGGTTTATGTGAAATACAACCAACAACTCAAAGAATGTTACAATCTTAAAGATGTAATTGATCCAATTACACTCAATGATATTGATGAGTGTAATGAGTGGTTGGTTGGAAAAATGGATGATGATGCTCTAGATGAGGATGCTGGAAATGACTTAGTTTTTTATGGTAACAACACTTTAAATTGGACAACTGTTTATGAAGCTTCTGGAATTGGAGAGCCTACAACATATACTAGGCGTCATTCTAAGAAAAGAAAGAATCCATCAAGTGGTATCACTATCAAAGCTGCAAAAGTTTCCAAGATTAAGGCATGTTCAACAACAAAAGGAAAAGAAAAAATGGTTCTTGAAGATGATGATGAAGAATTAGAAGATGAAGAAATGTCGGAAGAAACAGAAGATGAATTAGAATTTAATCTTCCACAATCTGAAGGAGAAGAAGAGGAGGGATATGCCTTGGTGGATGAGAAAGAGGATGATTATGTTGGAGTTGGAGTTGAAGAAGAAGACTAAATTAATAATCTTTATTTTTATTGTTAACTTGACATTTGATAATTATATATTTTGTATTTAATTATACTTTAAATTGAAGGTTATGTTACATATATTTTTAGTTAATTATTTTCTATTATTTTCTGTGACCTATAGTATTTTTTTATATATTTTATTACATCCGCCATAAATTTGCCATAACCCGCCATGGCGGCCGCCATAACTTTATGGCAGTTTTTTGAGTTTCCGCCATCCACCATTAATAACATTGGTGAGGACGTTAAACTAAAAATGCAAGGTCTTATCTTTAACACCTAAGCAATTGTAATTCCTATAGCAAGTTGTGATATAATTTTAGGGATGCAATGGTTAAGAGAAGTGTGGAAGGTGTTTTGGAACTGTCTTAAATTTATGAAGGATGAAAAAATGGTGAAGTTAGTTGCAGATAAACCATATAGTAACAGAGGGATCAATCTTTATAATGTAGTTGATTCCTATTTACCAAAAGGAGCTTTGTTGTGCAATAAAAGGAGAAGTTGAGAATGACACATCTGAGGAGTTAAATCAGTCATTAACAAATTTTACTGAGGTATTTATGGAGCCTAAAATCTACCCCATTTTAGGGGCATACATGGTGCTAAAGGAAGGATCCAATCCTATTAGCTGCAGACCTTATAGATATCCCCCAAGTCAAAAGGATGTGATTGAGAAAATGGTGAAGGAACTCTAGGATTCTAGAGTGATACAAAATAGCTCATCTCCATTTGCATCTCCAATTGTTTTAGTGAAAAAGAAAATGGTAATTGGCAGATGTGTGTTGATTATAGGGGACTAAACAAGATGACTATTAGAAGTCATTTTCCTATTCCAATAGTTGAAGATTTGCTGAATGAATTGAGGAAGGCTATGGTATTCACTAAGCTGGACTTGAGAGCTGAGTATCACTAGTTTCAGATGAAACCAAGAGATGTGGAGAAAAAATGCATTTCAGACGCATTCAGGCCAATATGAATTTGTTGTCATGCCATTTGGCTTGACAAAGGCTCCCTTAATGTTCTAAGGTACAGTGAATGCTATATTTCAGCAACAGTTGAGATGATATGTACTTGTATTCTTCCACGATATTCTCGTTTATAGTGAAAATAAGACTACATTTACAACACCTATGAACAGTTTTGACCGTTTTGAGGACTAACCACTGTTATGTTAAGATGAGCAAACATTGTATCTTTATGAAAAATGTGGAGTTCTTGGGGCATTTCATATATGAAGGAGTAGCAACAAACCCAGTTAAGGTATGGGTAATTAAAGAGTGACCTGAACTTCAAGATGTGAAGCAACTGAGAAGCTTTGAGGGGCTGGCAAGATACTATAAAAGGTTCATCAAAGGATTTATAGTATGATAGCAGCACCTTTAACTGATGTTGAAGACGGATGCTTTTCAGCTGGGGAAGGAGTTTTGAATAGCCTTCAGTTCACTTAAAGATGTGTTAATCAATGCTCCTATGTTGGCTTTAGGAGTCTTGCAAAAGTAATTTGAAGTAGAAACAAATGCTTCTAATATGGGAATAGGAGTTGTCCTAATGCAACGAAAACATCCAATTGCATTCATTAGCAAGATCAATCCTAAAAACTTAAAAATCATTTACTATCAGTCTATGATAGAGAGTTGTTGTCTTTGGTGCATGCAATTAGTAAATGGCACCTATACCTATCAATACAACCTTTTATCATTTTAACAGATCAACAAAGTCTAAAGTACTTATTGGAGCAGCGTTTGTCTGAACCAAAGCAGTACAGATGGGTAACTAAGTTGACGGGACTTCAGTATGAGATCAAATATAAGGGTAAAGACAACTTGGTAGCACATGAACTATCAAGAGAAAGTCACGGCTCAAGTGGCAGTTTCTTGTGTATCCACTCATCTGTGAGAAGAAATACTAAAGGGGTATAATGAAGATGCAACACTGATACAATTGAAGGAACAAGTAGAGTCACAAGCATTCCATGATCCCAACTCCCAAGTACCGTAGTATTGGAGGAGTTCTGTAGCAAAAAAATAAAATTATGATTCCCAAGGGGCCTAACCTTAGAGAATTGATCTTACAATGGCTTCATTCCTCACACATAGGAGGACATTCAAGCATTAAGGAAACTCATCAAAGAATCAAACAACCATTCTATTGGAAGGGTTTATTAAAGGATATCAAGAAGTTTATACGAAATTGTGAGAGCTGTTTGTGTTGTAAATATAAGACAGTGGCATCACTGAACTTGCTACAACCCTTACCTATACCAGAGGGAGTATGGTATATAATATAGCCATGGACTTCATTGAAGGGTTACCAAAGTCCAATGGTAAGGACACCATTTGGGTGATAATAGATAGGTTCAGTAAATATGCACATTTCATTGCACTTCCTCATCCATTTTCGCTTCACTTCTAGCCGAAATCTTTTTGAAGAAAATTTATAAACTTCATGGAACCCCAACATATATCCCAACTTTCTTTTTAATACACTCACCTGCAATAGGTGCCACCCCATCTAAGAATTTTTTATGATTATTTTTAAAAAAATATATTAGAAAACCATTCACATGCTTAGTAACCTTTCTAGAAGGATCTTCCCTAATAATATTGAGAAGGTATCGTCCAATCTTGTCAATGATAACCAAATAATTACAAATTTGCAATTTTCTTTCACCAAAGTATTCTGAACCATCACAGATATCAGGATTTTCGTTCCCACCCTCTTTGGTCACTCTCACAATTTGGTGTGTGCATGTGTGTATGTATGTACACGCGTTAGTGCGAGATATTTTACAGTCACAATTAAGCAACCTTGATGAATTTATTTCAGGTCTAATTTGTATATCAGCAATTCAGCATGATAAAGCAAACTCTAAAGCTTCAAACAAGTAACATTGTTGATCAGCGTATATGACATGCCCTGCCCCTTTGATGGATTATCTTATAAGAATTCATATATCTTAAACCTCATTCACAGATATGTATAAATATGTTAGTAACATAGCATCTCATCCTTACTAATGATTCTGTATTAATTTCTTATCACCAAGATAATAGGTTACAAATATTGGAAAAGCTTTCTTTCTAACGCATCTGAGAAGTTTGCTATGGATTCCGAAAAATATTATACAAGAAAAGAATATCAAGAGGGAGCTGTTAATCAGTAAGGAAACGACTGATGAAAGTAGAAAATGAAGCATTTGAACTTGCCTCAGTTAGACATCCATGGCCATCAGATGGAGTATGAGGACCAACCAAATTGAGTGGGGGATCCTCTTGGGATGAAAAGTCAGAACTATCAAACGTTGATAGTGATACACACTCATCAAAATAAGCCTTGGCATCTTCTGCAAGACGTTTTGACATCCTTCTTCTTTCAATGCTAGACTGTCACCATGTTTTTAGTTCATTAACAAAGGAATTGAATCAAACAAAACAAAAAATAAGCACACCTACACAAATAGTAAGCAATAGTTCCCAAATATCTATCACAATAGCTACAATATCATCTTCTGCAGCCAGATAGCTTTGAGATGAATGAATTAAAATACAAAATACATATAAGTTAAATAAAAAATTTAGTCCTTATATCTAAAATTCTTTTTTGTTTTAGTCCCTATATAAAAAAATTACAATTTGGTCCCTACCACTACCATTTCTATAATAGAGTTAATATACTTTTAATGCAGGGACCAAAACAGCAAATAATATGTTTATCCGTACAGACCAAAATGTAGAGCTTTTAATATAGAGAGACCAAATATTGATATCTTGACTTCAACACATGAAAAAGATACACGGTATTTTCTAAATATTTTTTAAGTTCATGCGGTTAGAAATCATACTTTTTTTATAACAAAAGGAAAGTATAGAAGCTTCAATCCATCCATGAAAAATTTATTAATGAAGATTCATAATTAAAAGTTAAAATTTTATGCTTGGTACAGGTCTAAAAAAGGACAAAAATTTCAAGATTTCATCCCTATCCTTTTGCTTTTAGCCTTGCCAGGCAAATCTTTCCTCTGTACATATGTATTTACAAAGAATGTGGTCCATGTACAACAGAAAGAACCCTTATGTTTTAATGGGAAAACTATTAAAGAACTTCAAACAAAGTTAGAAAAGATGCGGCTAAACAAAATGCAAAAAACACCTACTTTTCTTGATGGACGAGACTTTTGTACATTAGGGGTCTTTGGATATGGAAGAACTTCTTTCAAGATTCTATCCAGTTCATGCCCACGATGTTCTTCAACAGCCAGATCTGCTCGAAGATTTCTAGCTCGCTCCTGGGACTGTAAATATGACAAGGTCTACTTAATAAAGTGCAATTTAAAAGATAGGGTACTAGAACACAAATACACAGTATAACTGCAAGAGGAAAAAAATATATTAACAATGTTCTTTGTTTAGGGAAGTGAAAGCGTGGGGAGGGGAAATGAGGGAGTTAAAATCTGTCCCCTCTCATTTTTGTCTCTCCTCCAACATTGGGAGGATTCGAAGAGAAGGAAAAGTTTGGTTTATAATATTCAGTGAATATTGAGAAAACTTTAGATTTTATTTACCCTCCCATCACCTTCATTAATATTTATAAGGATACAACAGTATACTACTGTTATTTTCCCTTCCATCCCCTTGTTAACCAAACAAGGGCATCCATTCCTTCCTTGCCCTCCACTTCCCTACCCTTTGCTCCATTAAAATCCCTCCCCTCCCGTCTTTTGAACCAAACATGGTAGGGAAGATTTTCTGTAGCTATTTGATCTGTACGGGGAAACAAATTGGTGGTTCCTTTTAGAGTTGCCATATGAAAGTATAAAGGGGCTTCAAAATAATTGTTCTAGGGCAACAATGTGTCAGGTAACCCACATTAGTAGTTAGTAGTTACAATGTTAGTTACCCATTAGTAGTTAGTTGTAATATGTTAGTTAGCCTGACTTAATTAATTAGGCATGCAGCCTATAATTAAGTAGAAGGGAATGAGGAGGGGAGATCTTGTCAATTGTGAGAGGTAGCGCCTTTGGCTAGGCAGGAGCAATCCCTCGAAGAAATGCAGTGTTCTATCCTTATAATTGGGATCATTCCTTAATTCTTCTTAATATGATTCCCAGCTTATATCTCCATTATCAAAGTTTTAATTTTGGAGCTGTGGATACATCTTGAAGCTAATCCAAAAGTTGTTCAGATTAGCAGAAATGGAGAAGCAAGTTCTTGAAAAATTCAAGAAAGAATATGTGTAGACACCAGAATTTGAAGGAAAGGAAGCCTGTTGGTGGTTGATTACTGTGGAACAGCACTTAAAAGCCACTGCAATACATGAAGAAGAAAAGACAAAAGGTTGGGAAGGTTATGCAGGGATGTGCTTTTGTTTGGTGGTCTGTGCAGAAAGAGGACAATCCAAGTGCATCATGGTGGGGTTTCTTGAGGGCTGTGCTCAAAAAATTCAAGCCTGAATATGACCCAAATCTGCCAGTTTCGGGTGAAGATCAAGGTTCTTCAGTGGAGGAAAAAAGAAGAGAAGATGTGGTCTTAGACAGAACAGAACCAGCAATTAGCAACTCAAGGGCAAGAAACAAATACAAGAAAGCTACAAGAATTGCAAGAAATCCAACAAAATCATCCCAACAACATTCTGGTCAAAGTATTAGAAAACAGAAAGAAGAGGAAAGTTCCTGAGATTGAGAATCGTAGTGGCAAAGATGACGGAGAGATGAGGGTTTCTTTGGTTTGCAAAGTGGAGGCAAAAATTGAGAGAGGACCAATGTTTGGCACAAAGGAAGAGCAAAGGACAGAACCAACAGCAACAATGAAGGTTTTGGGTTTGGGTAGTATGATCAACCCATCACAGAAGCAAAATAAAGTGGAGGATTTTGATGATCATCTGCTGCAACCATGTGCAGTAGTGCAATTCACAAGGGAGCCATGGAATCTCAGCATAATTACAGTGCCTCCAATTCTATGTTCATGGCCAAACACACCCGAGAAAACAGAACACTAAGGAAGCATAGGGGTATTCACATGTTTGTGTGGGACCTAGGAGGAGTGGAAGCTAGTTTTGGGCTGCAGGGTGGAATTGGCTTCAAACAGAAGGAAACCCACTGGAATTTTGTTTAGCAGTTACTATAGTCACCTTGAGTACAAGGTGAATGTTTAGGAGGTGAGTATTGTTAGATAAACCACATTAGTAGCTACCATATGTTAGTTTCTAATTAGTAGATAGTTATAAATTAGTTAGCTAGCTTGACTTGGTTAATTAGGCATGCTGCCTAAAAATTAAGTAGAACGGATAGAGGAGGGGAGGTCTTGTCAATTGTGAGATAGTTTGGCCTTTAGCTTGGGAGAAGTAGTCCCTCGAAGAACTGCAGTGTTCTATCCTTGTAATTGGGGTTCATCCATAATTCTTCTTAATATGAGACCCAGCTTCTATCACAATGACACCAAACCTCAAACTCAACTATGAGATGATGACCATTTACTATGCACTAGAGGAAAAGATTAAAAGTGAAAAAGAAAGTTAACCATACTCCATCAACAAGTATAAAGGCAATATCACCTCTTCAAGCTTTTTGGCATACTCTCTTCTAATTTCCAAAACCAATTCTACTGCACCAGGGTTTACTAAGTCTGGAGATATCTCAGCCACATTAGTAATAGCAATTGCAGTGGCATTGTTCCTTTGGATAGCCTAAAATTCCAGAGTGAGAAACAATTTAGAAAATAGTATAAAACTCCCTTTTACAATTATTGTAGTCTAATTAAAAATTAGACATACATGCATCAAATAGCACTCAACTATTCACACTTTGCAAGTGGTGATGAGCAACCAGAAATTTCAATTACATAATCATAAGCAGCTATAAAGTAAGAAATAGCATTAGTATGCACTTGCCCAAGAAAAACTAAATGAAACTCACAAGAAATGCAGGCATTGAAACGATTCATGTAAAATGCAAAGTTACACAAAAGTAATATCTCTGGACCAGTTCAATTTCCACCTTTGAAAATGTGAGACCTACAAGGTTTTCCTCAAGATCATATCAGTTGAAAGTTTACAATCCATTAAGGGAATGAACTGCCATGCCTTGCTATGCAGCTGATTCTGTTATAATAATGATTCATAGGTGTCTAACCGAACCTTTGCTTTGATGAATTTCTACATGTTTATATTATTGATGTTAATTATTATACTTAGACACATATACAGAGATTTCCATTAAATATGGGCAGACTGTATCAATCACCATCAGTTAAATCAATTCAAATAGAGCCAGTTGACTTGAAGATGGTAAAGAGAAAGTCAGGAGCTCATGAAACATACACTTTCAAGGTCAATCTGAATATCAGAAATAGCGCGCCACACTTCAGAACGAACTGTTTCATATATATCACTGGCTTCTGGTAGATCTGCTTGCACTAACTGCAGAAGTCGACCCAAACATAAAACAAAAGTTATCTATTTGTTATCAAGAACAACTACCAATTTTCGGCCTAGTCTTATAGTATGGAAGCACTAAAGTTTCTGCCTAGGAAGAATAATTTGTCACGGATTGAAATTTCTTATAAGCAGGAAAGATGATCAACATCAATGAACCATAGCAACAAGTATTATTTTAAAAGCACACATGATATGACCACGTGCATGACTTTGTTTGGATATCTAATGGTGGGAGGAGAGAAATGGAACTAAAATTACCACAATATTGTTTATATATTTTCTATAGAATAGATTATAAAGGAAAGTTTTAATCTGTATGGAAAATGAACGGAAAGGTAAGACATAAACATAAAGTTGCTTCTATCCTATACTGCCAAATTATAAGGAAACACAAAATGATGTAACAGATGGAATAAATGAAATAAATTCAACAATGTTCCATTCAATGTCACCATAAATTTCCTCCAAAGTTATATGCATCACCACATTAGTCGTCCAAAAAAATTTTATCACCAACTTTAGAGATTGTTTGAAAGGGAGGTTTTAGAAGGAAGATGAGGGGACAGCAAACTTTCTATTTTAAATAAATATATTTTAATTTGATAATTTTTTAATATTGAGGATATAAAATGATATATTAACATAAATATATTGTATTAATCATTAATTTATTATATATAATTTTATTAAATTTTTAAAAAATGCATTACCCTTCCTTTCTCTCCAAAAACCTCTTCACAAACACCCCCTTAATGATCTAGAATGTTACCATACTACCTCATAAGATTTTGACATCAAATTAGTCCCTGAAAAACTTTTAGAAATGTGCTGACATGTAACTCTGAATAACAATTTTAGGATTTACCATTTAGTAATAAATATTATTTTATTCCTTCTATTTGAATCAATCCAAACATAGTAGTAAACAAGCTTTCCTATACCTCACCTTCATCTGTTCAAAAACTGCGTTGATAGTTTTCTCATCAGAACCAAATCCAGAACTTGCTGTCGAAGCTTCATCGTCACAATTGTGAGTTTGCAAATTAGACTGTAGGACAAACAAAATGAGCATTGAACAATAAGTAAATTAGTTCTAATCTCAATCCTTTCTAATATGCCCCTGCTGAGAGAGAAGAATGAGAAACATAGGATGAATCTGTGAGTTTTGACTACTCAGCAGAACATATATATCATAATAGGGATCATTAATACAAAATATACAGTTCCATAATTATCATAATTACAAAGATATTAATTTCTCTATTTACAGTATTACTATAATTACAAAATTCCAACAGCCCCAAATATACACTAGTGACACTAGCAAGGGAAGAAACTTACCAAAGTGGCAGCAAAAGAATCCAAGACCTCAACAGATGAATGCCGACTGGACCATGTGTGCAAATCCTTCATTTGATCTGTCACACCATCCTTACTTCTTCCAACCAAATCACCTTTTCTATTACTCCCCGCTAACTTCAAACCACTTCCATCATTACATTCAGCTTCACTCTGTACATACAACAAATGTGAAATAAGTTAAATTCCATTCATACCCTTCTTTCCATGTCCCACGTTATCAAAACAACAAAAACAAGTCTTAACTCACAAGTGAATCTCCAATATCACACCTACGAGATACATAGGTCCTAAAAACTGAAGAAAAAAAAAAAACAGTTGTAGTCCCAAGAAGTAAGAACCACATATGTTAGTGACCACATGTAACATGTTTTCTTTTGGTAGATAAATTTTAGGGGAGGGGATAGTGCCCCAATCAAATAATAGACGGAAAGCCTTGGGCTCAAAGAGTACTGATGACTTACATTTACTTAATTTCAATGAAACAAGGACTCAATTATCCAACCTATCAAATGCATGAATCTATCGTGTCCTACCACTAGATTTGGGGTTTCAAAACACACAAATGTTGTAAAAACATAAATAAGCAAACTTTCATTCATCGATTCAAATTACATGTACATTTTTTTTCAAAGCATTCCATTAAGATGGACTACATTTAGAACATCAAGGACTAAAGTAAATTTTTTGTATTATCAGCCAGTAAGGGAGTCTTTGGTTGCAATAAATTCTTTCTGTTTTAATTTTTTATTTGCACTTTTAAATATAAAAGTTATCCTATTTCAGTTTTTGTTTTCAAATATTTATACAGGAAACATTAAAAGCAGAAAAAAGTTATTTTCAGTATTTTCTGCACAAAATTTTAAAAATAGAAAACATTAATAATAAAAAATAAAGTGACAATTTGTACCCGAAAAATATATATTTCTGAAACCAAACATCCCTAAATTTCTCAATACTACACTCAAAATGTCATAAAGACACAAACAAGCAAAATCTCATTCCTGGATTTATATTATATTTAAAAAAGAACAGCATAAAAACCCAATTTGAAGGGGAAAAAAAAAAAGTTAAACTCATTGGTTTATAAATATGTCGAATCCCATTCTAATCCTTATTGATCACAAATACATGACATAGCAGTCCTTTTCAGTAAGATATATTAACCCAAAAATATCAGTATAACCTGCATTTATGATTTTTAGAAATTACTGATAATATTTTATATTATCAGATATCTAGCTAAATTCATGGGTATTTTACTCAAACTTTAATAAACTGTAACAAAAAGACCAATTGAACCGCGTGCATACCTCGGATGTGGAATAGTTCAGATGCCGCCGCCTCGAAACCGGACACTGCGAAGCTGAACGGGTGCGGCGACCCGAATCCGCTCGGGACAGGGCCCGACCCGGTTCGGCACTTCGCGCCACGGAGCGCGTGGAACTCGCGGGCGTGGAAGTTTCTAGAAGAGTTTTGGAGGATTGGGTTTGGTCAAAGAGAGGGTTATCCCTCTTGTTGAGGAAATCGGTGGAAATGTCCAAACTGGTCCTCGGGCACGCGCTCACGCTCCTTGACCTGCGACTCGGATTCGGAGCTCTGGTGGAGGGTCTGCCAGAATATGAGGCGTTGGAAGGAGTGGAAGAAGATTGGGTTCCCCTTCGCGAAGAGGATTTGAAGGCTGCAACGGCCATTGTAGAAAGTTCAGAGAAAGTGTAAGATAATGCGAGAAGATGTGAAATGTGGAAGATAATGCGAGAAGATACTAAGCGCGTTTCCATCTTCGGATTAATCGGAATCTGCAAGACTTTCTTTTCCCTTATTTTATTTATTTATTGTCATTAATTTATTATTTTATTATATATTTTTTATTTGGATGGCCTTTTGGACTGAATCTCAATTATTTAAGAAAGTTTATTAATTTCCATGGATGTGTGTTTATATGAAAGCAAAGGTTGAATAATGGTTACGGATTCACCTTTTTAAAATCAGCAAAGAATTGGGTGCGTTTAAATAGCTATTTTTTAAAAAAATATTTATTTAATAAAAAATTAAATGATAATTTATTTTTAAAATTTAATGATAAATTTATTAAAATAAATCATCTATACTAAAAAATTTATTAAAATAAATTAAAATATTTATAAAAGTTATAAGTTATTTTTTATAAATTTTTTTAAATAGTTTAAAAATTAAATTTTTTTCTAATAAACGGTACTAAAAAGTTTGAAACACCTAAGACAACAATACAAAGAAAGAGACTTCAAGAGCATTTAACCTCAACAAAAGAATTAAAGAGAGTGCATCATCAAAGTAAGAGAAAAAGACTCGAGCCTCTAACTAACATTTAGCAAGCCAATCCAGTTAACTTTTTGAAGGACATGACTAAATCTAATGAACCTTATCTTTGATATTAATCTTCTAATCTCATTAGTCACAAAATATAATAGATGATTATAACTCTGAAAATTAACAATAAGTGAGATTGTTTCTTTGGAATCATTTTCTATTCATATAAGACTAATGTTTTTCGCAATTACAAGTGAAGGCTCTAATAAATCCCTTATAACTCAGCGACCAGGGAGAGCAAGGGTATAAGGTACTAAAAAACCCTGCAACAAAACTGCCATCAAAATATCAAATCAGGCCCCTGCAACTAGCAATACTTTGGATTAAGAAATAGAACCATTCACATTAAGCTTGAATTGCATCTCCAAAGGCAAGTGCCATTTAATGGTGCGCTGTACTTCCAGCAAACTAGCTAAGGTCTTCTGATAAGACCTGCCATATATAAAAAAAAAAAATCAAAATCACAAATAATTTTATTCAAGAGGGCCTTAGAGCTTAAGGGATAGTTATAGAAAAAAACTTTATTTCTATTATTCCACAGGTTTTCAGCCACCATCCCAAACAGAATATTCCATTGAGGGATCTGAATAGAGCCATTTTTCACAAGATTGGGAGATAACCAATTAGATAAATCAACACTAAAGTAAACAACTCAATAATTAGGGAAAATAAGTTGGTCCCAAATTTGCCTAACCCCCCAATAGTCCCTGAGAACATGGATGATTGTTTCAGGGGCCTCATTGCACCTGCTGCAAATAGAGAAATTGGACATCTCTTAGGCACATCTTTCCATATTAGTTAACAATCTATTGCGAGCAATTTTCTATATAAAAAAATGGAGAGTCTGGGAGGGTCCTCCCAATTCCACACAATTTTAAAAATAGAATTACAGAGCAAATTAAAACAAAGTTAGTGCAGAATTTATGACAAAAAAGTGCATAATGCAAAAACACTACCTCTATCAAAATATAAACAAAAATAATGTAGTGCTAGATTGAATCAACCTAGGTCATCCTCTTGTGAACATTAGATATAGGATTATACATCAAACATGTTATGAGCACTAAGTCCAAAAAATAAACAAAAAAAGGGGTTGTTGTTTTTAGATTTGAAATCATTCAAGAAGGAAACTAAGTTGGGAAAAATCAATTAATGAAAGATATTAACCCCTAGTTCATCCATATAGATTCTATTATAAATCCTCTTAAAAATTAACACATCCTTCTTTCTTAGAATTAGGTTAATTAGAACAAGCGTCGATCAACCCTAATTTCTTATGCAAGATTAAGCAAATCACATGAGCTCCAATCTACGGTCCTTAGAATTAAGCAAACTAAGCTTTGAACCCTTGTCAAAAATAAAATTAAGATTGATTAAGCAACAACCTCCATTTTATTCTTAACCAATTTTTCATGAGATTAGGAAAAGTGAAATTCATAGAAAGAAACTCGTATTGGCAATCAAACCAAGATTTCAAGATCTGTGAACTCACTAGGGATTAATAAACAAAATTTAGCCTTCCATGAGAATGTAGTTTAGCATTACAAGAGATGATGTCCAGCAAAACTAAAGAAATTTAAAGTAAATCAGAAAAGAAAATAAGATTAAGTAAGAAAGAAACCATAATTTAAACCTTTGGTAGTCACCCAAGATTCTGACCTAAAACCTCTGCAAAGTGTATGTAATGAAAAATGTAATAATGGCAAAAAGATTCTTTTCTTAAAAGTGAAAATCCTATTTATAGTAAAAATACGATTCTTGGAGTGATTACTTTGGCTATTGATAGTGTTTACGTGCAACCCATTGCATTTTCTCCTCTCTGTAGTGTTCACTTTCACTAGTGAAAGTTGTTACGCGCAACGCGCATAATTATTATGACTAGTGAAAGTAAACATGCGCAGCTTCGCTGAGTCAAACAAGCCTGTGCGTAATCACTATGAGTAGTGAAAGTGATTACGCGAAGCCTCCTTCAAGAAATGTTTTTTGTAGTGTGATGATAGTGAACACGCATAACTTCGTCTCTCAAATTTGGCTTTGTACTGACTACTTTCACTTGACTCCTAAGGATAGCTTGCTATAGTGATTTCCATTAAAAATCTATGAAAAAGATAGGTAAAATATTAACAAAATATGGATTCATCAAGGGTCAAATTCCTAATTATTATTATCATCCCTATGGGCCTCAATAAGGTTCTTTTACCTATAGCTAACCACTGCTTTATGAAAAAAATTATTATTTCTATCTCATAACTTAAGCTAATTAGACTTATAATGATGTTACCAAAATACTTCTTCCCGATCTAAAATTTCCTGATATTCTATCCATAGGGATTTCATTAAATCATTAAGAAAAAGATTATTCCCTCTACTAAGCTTACAGGAAATACCCCAAAAGCCTACTTAGAATACACCTCTTTTTGTTTAAAATGTTGCCTAAGGTATTTCTATTTCAATCAGTAATGTTATTTCTAAAGTTTGTGATATTTTCAAACTAAGAGTTAGAATATACCTAAGACATTTTAACTTGGTTCTGAAAATCACAATGGTTCATCCAAGAAGCCAAAAATCAAAAGGGCTTATTATAGTATGGGCAGTTAGAGTTATCTTTAATTTTCAACCACAAGGTACTATGGTTAGATTTTAAAATAGGAAGATGGATGAGGGAATTGTTCTAAAAACAAATTTTTTAAGCTTCATTTACAATCACCCTATCTATTTGTTTATGGATTCTACCCCTATGCCAGGTATAAGGGTACCTATTTGAAACTTAAGTCCTGAAGGCCATAAGAATTTAAACAATTTACAAATTGGTTTATAAGAATCACATTGGCAGGTCTACCCCTTACTTTTTCATTTTCAAAGAAAATGGAACTAAAGTATCCAGCTATGCACTAGGCCCCCTTAATTCTAGAACTAAAATTGATTAGGTGGTTCCAGCAGTCAACCCTCAAGTTTTCTTAGGGGCTTGCATAAATAGAAGAAAGAACCCAATTCCCTTGCCCAGACCAAATGTTTAGATGGATAACATACTTGTTTTTGTCCAAGACTATTACTTTAACCTTCCACTGTTCCAACAACACCAAATTCCTCTAGAATATCCTATGGCATCAACCTTCACAGAGCTATCTAGATTAAGTTTTTGAATAACCATATCAGCCTTGTTTGAACTAATCCTAGGTTCAAAAAGGGCAATAAAGTCTAAATTATGGATAATAATTAGATCATTAACAAGCCTAGGGAAGGATCTTTCCTCAACCCCCCTACAATTTTAAAACAAGCAATTCATGAAAACTAGAAAAGAGTGGTTGACGCATCTTTAAGATGCTAAGGCCTGACTACTGCTCTATTATCATAAGAGAGGTCTATAGGATTATTGAGCTCCTTACTGTTAAATTTATCTAACTCCATTGATACAAAGGTATTAGGGGGCCTGTCAATGGGGATTTTGTCGGGGGTGGGTCAGGTTTGGGTCAAATAGGTCAGGATTTAAGCCTATCAGATCCTGTATAGAGTTACTCCCCTTAGAATTTTCCTGAATAGTTTTCTGAAAGGTTGACATTAAACAGAGGATGTCTTTATTTGCTTAAAGGCTATTAGAATTTAGGCTTTCCAAACTGATCTTAGGATTAATTAGATTTACAAGTTGAGTTTCAATCTTTAACTTTTCCTAGTTTAGAAGATTTTGGGACAAGTTTGACTTTGTTGCTCTTCCTAGGATGATCATTCACTTTATTGGTCAACCTGCTATGAAAAAGGTCCTTAGAATGTTGGCTAGATTCACCAAGAATGGTTGAGGCTCTATTATTGTTAGGAGCCAGGGTCTACTCCAGATTTTGGGTGGAGTCACTAAGTACATCAAATCTAGATCCTGAATGATTGTCCTTCTTCTTATTATTTACTCTACTAAAACTTTCAGATTGGAAATGGGTAGGTTTCTTCCTAAACTGTATTTTGGCCAGCATCTAGAGGCCAAAATGGTCATTCTCCTAATCAGGCTCATTCCCTGTTTCATCAAGACTAGGGATGGAAACAGGCCAGGCCGCCTGACAGGGGCCTGTGGCCTGGCCTGGTTTAGGCCTGACCTGACCTGACCTTTTTAATAAACAAATCAGGCTCAGGCCTTTTTTAAGGCCTATTTAAGTAAATAAGTCAGGCCTAAGCTGTTTATAAAGCTTGTTAAGCCTGACAGGCCGGCCTGTATAAATATATATATATATATATATATATATATATATATATATTATAATTTAAAAATAGAGCTATCAAAATATTTAAATAATAAAGTTATTTAATAATATATTTTTATATTCTTAATTCTGTTATTATTAAATTAATATATTATGTTATAATTTTATTTACTTATAATTATAAAAACCAGAAATGATATTATATTAAAAATTAAAAATATTTATACATAATTACACTTTTTAAATAATAAATTTATTTCATA